CCCACCTCCCTCCTCATCCAGGTAGAAGAGACCTTGAAGGAGGGGAAAGGGGACCTCGCGTTTACCGGGAGCAGACTTTGCACCAGCACTGTTGTAGGGTCCTAGGGGCTCATTTTACCCCTGCAGGAAGCCCAGTTAGGTACCTACAGTTATTATAGTCCCCATCACACAGATGAGAAGACCGAGGCACAGAGTTTCAAGACATGGGCCAGGGTCCCAGTGGGTCAGTGGCAGAGTACGGACGCTTGCGTGGGCCCCCAGGCTGCACGGCGTGGCCGAGTGTCCTCTGCTGTCCTCTCGGAGTCCCTCCCCCACACCAGGCAGCGTGCTGTCTGACCTGCAGCTGATCCTGGCGCCCAGCCCCTGCGCCCCCCTTTCCCGTCCGCACCCTGCTGCGGCCCCCACCCACCCGGCCCCTGCCACGGAGCCCCCATGCTGGCGATCGCCCCTTCTAATTGCTGCAGTGCCCCCAAAGCCGCGCTGGGTTATCACAGAGGGTGCAGATCTCACAGCTCAGCCTCCTCGGTCCCAGGCCCTCAGGGCCAGCTCAGGAACGGAGGGAATTAATTACATTTTCCCCATCCCCTTCTTTTAAAGTAGGGGAGCGCGGCGGCGAGCGGAGGCTGTGGAAGGGGGGCCCCACCCCCGAGACCTGCCAGCCTCTCCCCAGCGGGCGGGCGGAAGGGAGGGTGGGGCTGGCCCCTCGTTGGTTTAGTCTGGTTGAGGCTGGGACTGATTTGGAGCACAGGGAGAGGAAGAGGCTGGGGGCCGGGTGGGGGAGGGGCGGGGGGAGAGGAAGGGATGGCTGTCAGTCAGCCTGATGGACAGCCCTGAGATTTGCCTTCAGATAAAACCTTACAGATGTGGAGGTCGGTATTGATTTTGAGTTAGTAACGGTAACGTAGCAAGAAGTGATACATTAGTGAGAGCAAGGTCACCGGGAACGCGGGGACCCACCCGGGGAGAGGCCTGAGCATTCTTGAGGGGGGGGATGACCGCAGCAGGCCGGGACTTCCTCAAGTTCAAAAGTTTGCAGGCCCCAGGCCTCGGCGGGGCCCCGCCCCGTGGGCAAGTGCTTCCTGCATCTGTGCCGAGCGGGACCGCCAACTCCCCGGGCCAGCCGGGCTGCGGGTGTGGGCCCCCCGTGGGCCTGCAGGGCTGTGGGCGTGCTGGGGGGCCGTGGTGGGGAGAGAGGGCGCCTGGCCCCGCTTCGTCTCGGCGGCCTGATCTCAGGTGAGCCTGGCCGCTGCCCGGTGCCTCAGTTTCCCCGTCTGCAGTACAGGAGCGATATCAGCCCGTCGGTTTGAGGACTTGAGGAGGGGCCAGGGCAGCTGCGTGGTGCTGCCCTGCCTGGAGACGGGGTGTGTGTGCACGTGGGAGTGTGCATGTGTGCATAAGTGTGTGTGTGCACACGAGTGTGTGCATGCATGTATTTGTGTGTGCACGTGAGTGTATGTGTGCGTGTGCACATGTGTACATGTGAGTGCATGTGTGTGCATGTGAGCGCGTGTATCCATATGTGCACACATGAGTGTGCAGGCACATGTGTGTGCGTGCGTGTACATGTGAACACATGTGTGTCCATGCATCTGTGTGTGCGAGTGTGTGCATGTGTGTGTGTGTGTGTCCCATGCAAGGCAAGTCCTTGGTCCTCAGGCCTCCGGGGACTCAGAAGAGCCACAGATGTGGATTTGCTTGGATGTTCCAGGGCGAATCCCATTGAGCAAATCCCATTACAGGAAAAGCTCCTGGGCCGAGCTGTTTCTGAGCTGCTGGTGACGGCCAGGGTCCAAGGCCTCTGGAGCCCCTGGGCGCCTCGCTAGCCCCTGTGAACAAAGGACTGCAGGAGGCCTGCGGCGTCCGGGCTTCTGCTCTCAACCTTGACCTTCCTGCTATTTCTTAAGCCTGCAGGGTGTTCCCACCCCAGGGCCTTTGCACTTGCTGATTCACCTGCCTGCCTGGAAAGCTCGTCTGCTGTATCTTGCCATGACTGGTTCTTTCTGGCCCTGTTGACCATCACCTCCCTGGGGAAGCCTTGCCCAACTCTCCCCCCCAATCCATATCCCCTTGTTTTTCCTCCGAAGCATTTATCAGGATCGGAAATTGTCACTTATCTGGTTGCTCTCAGCTCCTGCATTAGCCTGAGAGCTCCCGGAACCAGGGCACTGGTGCATAACACGTGCTCCAAAACACCGATGCGGTGAACGCGCACGCATTCGGCAGAGCTGCTCGGAGCCCATTGCACACAACAGACACAGTGCAGGCCCCGAGGCTGCAGGCCTGGCTGAAAGCCAGCTCTGTGCTGTCCTCACGGTCCCGCCCTGCCCCTGGCCCAGCACAAGTACCCCCCGGTGAGATTTGTTTGTTGAATGAATACGTGAGCGAGTGCAGGAAGCGCATGGTGTTTTGTGTAGCTGGGATATAGAGTGTGGGGTAGGTGGGGTGGGGGGAGCCGGGGTAGGGGGCCGAGGTCGGATCACAGGAAGCCTTTGCTGGAAGGTTCCAAGGGGCCGTGGAGAATTCCCGAGAGATGAGGTCAGGTTTGCCGCAGTTCTGTGCATATTGTCGTCTCACAGGACGAGCGCTCAGCCTGTCCAAGGCACCTGTGTCCTCTCCCCACCCCCCACCCCCGCCACCTTCGTCGCATCTGGATGGCGTGCAGCAGGGACGGCCGGAAGCAGGGCTGGGGGTCCTGCACCTGCCATAGCCCCGGAAGCTGGGACCCGCACGTTCTCCCCGAGCTGCTAGGTCTGCTCTTAGGGCCCGGGCCTCCTGCGAACAGGGAGCAGCGTCCATGCTTGTGTGGGGTGGGGCTTGGCGTGCGTGCTGGCTTCTCACTGTAGGTGGAAAGGGAGGTCTAGCCTGGGAACCTGTCTCCTAACCCTCAGGGTGGAATCAGATTCCTGAGATGCCCCCCTGGGATGCCCTCCTCCCCCTCCCCATTGTCCCCCGCAGCAAATTCCTGGGCCGAGCACGAGGACTTCCCACCCAGATGGTCGCAGTTGGTCGCAGCTGCTCCCCGCTGCTGGCCTCTGCTCCCCACGATACTGGGCATGGCCAGAGTAACGCACACGGTGCCCGCCGCTCCTGCCTCCCTGCTGGGCTTCTCTCTCCTTCTGGAAAACTCAAGACAGCTACCTGTGCACCTGTGCCGGCTGCATGGGACTGCGATGCCGCTTCATCCGCCTAAATCCCACCCGCTAAGTGGAGACGCCTCTGGGAGGCAAAGGATAAAGGAGGGGACTTCAGGGCCCCAGAGTGACACCCAGAGGCGGAAGTCAGTGGGGGGCTCTGCCCCGGCCTTCCAGAGGGACCAGGCCCCCCGGTGAGGGACCCCATCCCACCTGCCGCCCGGGAAGATGTTGGCTGCTGGTCCCTGGAGGGAGGGCCTTCCTGGAGAGGCAGCTCTGACCAGGCAGGTGAACGGGGCCTGAGCTGCTGCTCCCTTGCAGGCCTGCCGCGAGATCTGGGGAAGCCAAGGGCCCTTTGCGGGCCTCAGTGTTTACACAAGAGAAATGGGCGTTGTAGCTCTGCCCCTGCGGCTCCCTGGGCCTCTGGATTGGGAGAGGCACAGGAGGGAGCTAAGAGGAGGGGGAGGGAGGGAGGAGGGGAGGCACTTCCTGAGCGATTCCAAGCTGAGCTCGACTCAGTCCCAGCCACCGGCATCCCCTCTCCCCCTGCGTGCTAGTTAAGGGACCTTGCTCTTCCCACCCCGCCCTTGGTCCCGCAGGAACCGGGGGTTTGTCCCTGGGGAGTCCGTGTCTGTGGCCAGGCCTTGGTGCCTGTGCCAGGGGTGGGGGCAGCGGAAAGGTCGTGTCTCCACGGCCGAGGCTGGCTGTCTCCTGGCGGCCCTGGGGAAGGCAGGCAGCAGAGCGCGTGCCTGGTGGGGACTGCCCTGTGCGTCTGGAGCTCAGGCTGGGCAGGTGACCAGCGGGGCCTCCCCCCTGCACTGCCTCGTGGAACGAATGGCATCACCAGGAGGTCACCAGGGCCCCGCAAAGACTTGCCCCTCGCCCCTGCCCTCGCCCGCCTCCCCTGGACTCCCAGGCCCCGAGCCCTCCCAGTCTCCAGGGACTCCTGCTGCCCACATGGCCCCTCCCGCGGATGCGTTTCTGGACCCACAGGATGGGCGAGTGCCCCCGTGAGCGGCCTCTTCGTGGCCTGCATCGCTCTGGGCCTTTGCTAGGTCCTCCCCGACCAGGTCCGGGCTCCCCCCCTCCCTTCCTGCCAGCCCTCCCCACCCCCCTCCGGCCAAGGGCAGGGACCGTGGCTTGCTCTTTGGCATCTGGGGACACAGTCACCACCCATGCATGTTTGTTGAATGAGTAAGTGAAGGCCCAGCGACCCAAGCACCTGGTTTTTGAGCTGAGTTTCTGGAGATGGGCTTCTTCCTGGCAGGCTGCCCGCTGGTCCTGATGGGGAGGGCCTGTTTGCTGAGCCGGGCCAGGCGGGGCGGGGGTGGGCACGGGCGTCGGGGGCTGGCAGCGCCACAGGAGGCGGTTGGAAAGCTTTGGCTCTGACTTGGTGCTGTGGGGCAGGAGGCGCCAAGTCCAGAGACGCTGAGAGCAGAGCCAGGCTGGCACAGGAAGGGGCATGAAGCTGGGCAGATCCAGAAGCGTACTCGCGTGTTTGTGTTGGAAGGTGGGGGCGCCCCAGTCTGATGGAGGAGGCACGGTTCTGATTTAGCAGAGCCCCCCGGGCGGATGGGAGAGGCGCCCCTATGTGGGTAGCTCACGCGTGCGTAGACTCATTCACTAGTTCAGGGTGCGTCTCAGAGCCAGTCCCTGGGGAGCATGGGGTGATCAGGCCCTGTGCCCTGGGGTCAGGACTTCGCAGGAGAAATGCTGCAGACTGGGAACCTCCTCAGGCATGGGACGCGCAAGGCAGATAAACCGCAGCCCCACGGCACGCTGCAGGGACCTGCAGGGAGGAACCGGCACAGGCCGCGCCCCTCCCCCAGGGCTGTCCTGCCGGCGACACTGACCGTCTGTCCCCCGCAGGTGATGAGCATCCTGAGCAACCCCGGCGCGGTGGCCCCGCAGCCGCAGGCCGACTTCTCCCTGTCCCCGCTGCACGGCGGCCTGGACTCGGCCACCTCCATCTCGGCCAGCTGCAGCCAGCGGGCGGACTCCATCAAGCCGGGAGACAGCCTACCCACCTCCCAGTCCTACTGCCCGCCCACCTACAGCACCACCGGCTACAGCGTGGACCCCGTGGCTGGCTACCAGTACGGCCAGTACGGCCAGAGTGAGTGCCCCTCCCCTCCCCTCCCCTCCTCCCACTGCCGCTTGTGGGGCCTCCATGTGTTTCTAGAGAGGGCAAGATGGTGTTGGGGTGTGGGCACGCATGTCACAGATGGTTGAGTTCAAGTCCAGAAAGGAGACAGGGTTGGCCCAAGGGGACGCTAAGCCGGGCATCAGTCAAGGTTGTCTCCTTGACCTTGTGACCAGGCCCCAGCCCCTCCACCTGGGTTTCTGTGGCCACAGATGTCATTGCATGAGTTTCAGTCGCCACATTTTAAACTGTATAAAGAAACAAGTGGCATCGCTTTTGCTAACGTATTTTATTTAATCCCATATATCCAAAAGAGGATTGTTTCCATGTAAAATAGTGGGAGACTTCATGTTCTTTTTTGTGCTGGATGGGTGAATGAATGAATGAGTGAGTGAATGACTTAGTGTCTGTGACAAGCAGTACGTGTTTTACAGGTACAGCCCCTTTAAATCCAGACACCGCAAGTTTCGCTGGAAATACTCAAACTGTATAAACTTAACAATCAGGAAAGTAGATTTGCACACCCAAGTTGCTCCAAATAGAATTCCAAGTTTCCCAACCACGAAATAGCTAAATTGAAGGCCAGCTTTAAAATTCAAATTAGATCAATGTAAAACAAACACTTGGAGTTTGCTTTCCCAGTTGTGCTCAGTCGCCGAGGGGCCGAGGGGCTGCTCACCCTTCCCGCCCCAGGTGTGGCTGGGAGCCAAGCCTGGAGCTCTTTCCCTCACCTCCATCTCCCTGGACTGTGTGTGCAGTGGCCACTGTCCCCTTGGCACCACGTGCCTGGAGCTAGGACCCGCAGACCCCCAGACCGACGGCTGGAGGAGGCCTCCGTACGGGGCCAGTGGCAAGGCAGGCCCTGGGCCGGGGGCAGGGAGCAGGGTGTCGCCAGGCTCCCCTCCTGCCCCACCTCCCTACAGAGGCCTCACCTGCTGGTGTCAAACTAATCAGAAGGGCCCACGGGGGGAGAGGGCGGGGCCTCTGAGCCCGAGGGACCCTCTGCCCTCGCCCCGGCCCTGGCCTGGCCTCTCTGCCCTCTGCTTCCTGTACCGCCCCCCAGCTCTTCCTCACATGACCTTGGCCTCCATGGCTAAATGAGAGCCAGCTGTGCGGGCCTCCGCCTCCCAGCTGTGTGCGTGGACCCTCCGTGCGTGTGTGCACGCTTGCACATGTGCGTGGAGGTGGCTGTCCCGGATGTGTGATGACTCGTGTGTGGCCGTGCACGCATCCTGTGTGTGGGGTGTGTCTGAGTATTTTAGCATGTGTGTGTGTGTGCGTGCGTCTTGGCATATAGGTGTGTGTGTGTGAGTATGACAGCCATGTGTAGGAATGTGCACAGGGCCATTCCTGTACACACACACAATAGCACACAGCACACATAGGATGCACATGTGTGGTTGTATGTGAATGTGTGTGCACACGTATGGTTACAGTGCATTCCGGCATGTGCATATGGATGTGTGTACACGTGCTTGTGTGTGCGTGAGTACATACATGTGCGTGTGTGTGCAGGCAGGCACATGGTGTGTGTCTGGGGCTGTGTGTGCAAGGTCAGGTGCCCTGTGGGCTGTGGGTCAGTAGGAGTGCAGCACCAGCAGCAGGGGGTGTGAGTGTGCCATGCCTGTGTGCCCCACAGGGCTGTGGGACCGCATGCGTGTCTGAGAGGGTGCACACGTGTGCATGGGCGAGTGTCCAAGGGCCCCGGCGACCCCCTGACCCCGCCCATGCGCCCGAGCGTGGCGCGGGACACACATGCTCTTCATCAGAGCGGCAGCCGGCCTGGGGCGGGCGTTAGTCACACCCGGAGCCCGTGCCCTGCTCCAGAGGCGCCTGCCCGATTCGGAAATAAAATTAACCCCGCAGCCGGCATGGGGCGCTGGGGGAGGGGGATCAAAAAAGGGAAGGGGCCCAGGAGGCGAGAAAGGCGCGTTTGTTCCCACTGCTGGAGGAGCGGGGCGTGGGGAGGCCAGGAGCTCCTCCTGCCTCAACTTTTCCCTCCCCTCGCCCCCCAGCTCCTCCAGGGAGAGCTCAGAGCTGCCCTTGGGCCGCTTTCTCCAGGCCTACCCAAAGGCACTGGGCTGTGGGCTGGGGCTGGCCGGGCCCGGAGGGCAGCCTGCTCTTCTGCCACCTGCTTGTTTGGGTGAGGCACACACTTGCCTCTCTGGGCCTCAGTCTTCCCATCTGTGAAATGGCATTCGGGGACCAGACTCCACCACCTCCAGTTTCCATTGTGCCATCTCCCTGACCTCTGTCATTGGAGGACAGGTGTGTCCCACGGCCGCGGGCCCGGGCTCCCTCAGCATGTGTGCAGGAGCTGTGTGTCCACACTGCCTGGGGCACGCCCAGCCTGGCCGCTCACCTGCTCACTTCTGTCCTGGGCACCAGTTTAGCGTGTTTCTCATTGACATGACTTTCTTATTTATTTATTTGACAGGCAGAGTTAGACAGTGAGAGAGAGAGAGACAGAGAGAAAGCTCTTTCTTTTTCCGTTAGTTCACCCCCCCCTCAAGTGGCCACTACGGCCAGTGTGTTGTGGCAGGTGCGCTGCACCAATCTGAAGCCAGGAACCAGGTGCCTCCTCCTGGTCTCCCACGCGGGTGCAGGGCCCAAGGACCTGGGCCATCCTCCACTGCACTCCCTGGCCACAGCAGAGAGCTGGACTGGAAGAGGGGCAACTGGGACAGAATCTGGCGCCCCAACCGGGACTAGAACCCGGGGTGCCGGCGCCGCAAGGTGGAGGATTAGCCTAGTGAGCCGCAGTGCCGGCCATTGACATGACTTCAAAGTTACTGTTCCCAGATAAGCGTAGCGCAGGTGCAAAGACGACAGGTTAAGGGGAGCCGGGCAGCTTTCCCGGAGTCCGCAGCCAGGGCCGGTGGGCTCCGTGCCCCCTGACTCCAAGTCACAGAGCAGAGTGAGAGACACTCAGGCCAGACGGCGGCACCCGCCCACGCATGGATCGGTGCTCGTAGGTGCACCTGCAGCCGGACCGACGCACACAGAGGTGGATCGGATGGGAGCCCTGGCCCGCGAGAGTGTATGCATAGACACCTAAGTCCTACACACATACACTGTGGGTGAAGGAACCGCTTACCGGCACCTGCTCCGGGTCTGGCGTTCCGCCGTCTCGGCCTCTCCGTGTACGTGGCTGTGCCCATTGCACAGATGAGGAAGTAGAGCCCGAGAGCGGTTGTTTGCCTGACGGCACCCGGCAGCGCGAATCCTTGAACTCAGTGAGCACAGAGCCGCACCTGCAGCCCCGCCCACGCGGGCCCCCTTCCAGGTGTGCCTGGATGGCACAGGCACGTGGGCCAGACGCAAGCCACGGAGGCCTCCCCTCTCCCCGCGCCTCTGCTGCTGCCAGGGGGCACCTTCACACCTTCCTTCCCACCCCGGCCATTGTCCGTCCATCTGTCTGTCACTCCCTGTCCCTGCAGTGGGTGGGGGCAGGGGGCCAGGGCCAGGGGCACCCGGCAGATTAATATGGCCCCGGTGTTCCCAGAGGCCGGGGCTGTGCTAATGATGGGGCTGATAGGACGCAGAAGTGTGAAAAGAATTTTAATAGATCTGACAAGTCTAATAAGAATTTGTGTCTAGAAGGGTCCTCTGGGGCCGCGGGCTGGCGAGGCGTTGACGGCTGAGATTTGTTTACTGGTTGGCATCACCACCGCATCTCCTGCCACCTCCCGGTTAATCTAATTTGAGATGTGTAGAGCTCGGGCGCGGGTGTGAGGCAGAGGAGTGAAGACACGGAGAGACAGAGGCACAGGGAGGGCCCCTGACAGTGGCCATGCTGAGAGTCAGCACAGCCTTGCCCCCGCCAGTCCCTGGGCTCCGCACGGCGCCCTTGACATTGGCAGGGGCACCGGTGACGTTGGGCTTCCCAGCATTTCCTTGGGCACCTGGATGGGGCCGGGGTAAGCGCCTACTGTGTGCTGGTCCGCGGGCTGACTGAGAGAGGCAAAAGAGGGGACACACAGAGTAGCCAGAGGCGCGAGCAGGATCCAGCCCGGCTCCTCCTGCTGATACGCTGTTCCCGTGATCTTTTGGCCCTCAGTTTCCACATCCATACAATGGGAGCAGTCAGACCCAAAGCTCACATGCAGCGCTACTCTGTGCAGGGGGAGTAGTAGCTGGCGTCCGATGGCATCCTGGCTCCGCAGGTCACGAGCCTTGTGGTCTTGCGGGTTGGGCAGCTGCTCACGGCCTCAGTTCTGACCTCTCTACAATGGGGACGTCAGCACTTGGTGCCTCATAGAGCTGTGGTGTGCCCTAAGAGCTTAGAACAAGGCCTGGCTCCAGCGAGCTCTGGGGGTCCCAGGGCCTCCCCTGCCAAAGGCCGCTACCCCACCAAGAGCAGGGCAGGGTGGACTCTGGTGCCCAGGTGAGCCTGGCTTGAGGTGGCAGAGGAGATGTGGCCAGGGACCCAAGGTCTCCCCCAGACCAGAGATGGAAGTGCCTCACCCCCTCCCGGAATTAGGGACAGGCCCCAGGCAAGACTGGCCAGAACCCTCACTGCTGTGCCGTCTGGAGCCTGGAGACCCCGCAAATCAGAGGACGGCAGCCCCTGGGGCTCAGCTCAGCCATACGTGGGCTGTAACTTTGCTCTCATCACCCACCTGGGGGCTTGGCAAGCTCCAGACACCCCCCTCCTCCCTCAGAGAGACCCCAGGGCATTTGCACATGCTTTTGAAATCCAGGTGGTTGTGCCTCTAAGCCTCTGAGGTTACCACCTTGAAGAACATTTTCTCATGAGGGTGTTAGCAGCGGCCTTGGAGGAAGCCGGAACTGGCTCCCCAGGAAACAGACCTAATGAGGCAAAGGGGCTTGCCCGAGGCCACGCAAGCCAGGAGGAGCTGGGACTGCCAGCCTCCCATTTGCCACCCTGTCCTGCCTGTCCTCATCAGGGGTCCCACTGGTCTACCCAGCGCCAGCTCTGGGGTCCCCCTGCGTTTGAGCCCATGGGGCTTGAACTCATCGCCAGTGTGCCAGGCACCTGCCACTGACCTTCACAGGCAGGTTATTGTGGACCCTTGACCACAGCTCTGCAGCCTCCTGCTGGGACCATCCCCACTTTACAGACTAGCACACTGAGGCTTGGCTGGTGGTGTGCTCCAGACTGTAAACCACAGGCGGCAGGCCCGGGTTTGATCGTAGGTCATTCAGACCGCGAGGCAGTAATGCCTTTTGTGGCTCGGTGACCAGCATTGCCCACTTGCCTTTCTCAGCCCCACCCTCGGTGTTTATCACCTGATGGCTCCACCCACCTGCCCTCGGCGGGAGCCTCCCACTTAGGGCAAGCATCTAGAGTGTGGTCCCTCTTGGGCTGGCGGTAGAGCGAGTGGTGGGCTTAGCACGGTGTTGTCTTTGCCTTTGTCTCACTCCTGGTCCTCGAGGCCCTGGGGCGTTGGATTGGCCACAGTACCGGACCCTGGCTTCGGAGGCAGCAACTCTGTCTGACCGCAGAAGCCACAGTTAGGAAAGAAAGACACACGCACTCAAGCGCATGGCATGGCTGTACCAAACAGGCACACATCCCTGGCTCGGGTGGCGCTCGCCTAGATGTGGTGCCAGCGCCCGCCCAGGCATCCCCACTGTCCCACCCTCTCCCGAGGGTGCACAACGCAGACACGGATGTGCTAGAGCAGGTATTGCCCTCAGGTGAAGTTCACGGCCACACTCATCATTACTCCATAGGTCGTCTTGTGCCCGCTGTTCACACACGCACGTGCACACACCCTCACACACTCGTCTGCCCCCTCTGGGTGGCCAGACCTGGCTCCTGCGTGTTGGTGTCTCAGCTCGAGCCTGGCTCTTGCTTCTGCGTGGAGCCCTCAGGCCACTTGCTGAGGCTGCCTTGGCTTTGGAGCGGGAGTCTTGCGTTGTCTCAACCGGGGGGAGCTGAGCTCATGGCCGAGAGAGGGCAGAGGACCTGGCCTCCCGACGGCCTGGACTCAGTGGGACTTGCCGGATGTCCTCCGTAGCAGGGCTTTCTGGAAGAGGGGTGGGCGCCTGAACTTCTTGAGGGACCTGAGCAAATAAGTGTTTGGTGGACGTTTGCTGCATGATTGGAGAGGAGTGGAAGAAAGAGCTTCAGGAAGAGGTGTAAGGATGGATGAATGGGAGGGCGGATGGATGGACAGAAGGACGTATGGGTCGGTGGGCGGGTGGATGGATGGATGGATAGGTGGGTGGGTGGATGGGTGGGTGGATGGGTGGATGGATGGGTGGATGGATGGATAGGTGGGCGGGTGGATGGATGGGTGGATGGATAGCTGGATAGGTGGATGGATGGATAGGTGGGTGGATGGATAGGTGGGTGGATGGATGGGTGGATGGCTGGATAGGTAGGTGGATGGATGGATGGATAGGTGGGTGAGTGCATGGATGGGTGGGTGGATATATGGGTGGGCAGGTGGGTATAGGGATGGAAGGATGAGTAGAGGGATGGTTGGCTGGGTGGATGGACAGAGAGGAGGAAGGAGGAGGAAGATGGAGGGACAAAGAAAGAACACCAGTCTCTACAAGTGTCTCTCTCTCTCCCCAGCTGCTGTTGACTACCTGGCCAAAAACGTGAGTCTGTCCACACAGCGCCGCATGAAGCTGGGGGAGCACTCCGCCGTGCTGGGACTGCTGCCTGTGGAGACCGGCCAAGCCTACTAGGGCCCGGGCAACCTGCCCCCCGCCCAGCCCCGCCCAGCCCCCTCCCCGCTTCAGCCCGCTCCTGCCCCTGGTGTCTCAGGAGGCCACAAGGGGAGCCCAGTCCCTTCTCATCGCCGGCCCCTGGAGGTGCACAGCCCGTGTGTGTTCCCCTGCGCTTCCGGACCCAGAGTGACCCCCTTGGTTTCTCCCTCTCAGCCCCCGCCCTGCACTCTCCCCAGAGGGTGTGGCCAGCCCATGGTGCTCTCGCCGTGCAGCCTGTCCTGGGCTCCGGGCCACCTCTGGCTCACCCTGAACAGGCTCCCAGAGGAGAAGGATGGTGCCTGAGACTCGGGCCGGGGTGCAGGGGGTGCCCTGGCGGACGTGGAGAATAAGGCCCCAGGGCCGCTCTCAGCTGCAGGTGCTGGGGGCCGGCCCTCCCAGGTGGGTCAGTGGCCCAGTGTCGGCAGCACAGCCTTTGCCGCCTCTGCGCACTGGGGCTCCAGCAGAGGGGGTACCCGGCCCTGGGCTCTTCCCGGGGAGTAAGCGAGGCAACAGTCTGGCCTCCACGCAGGGATCAGGAGGGCTTCAGGACCTTCCCCACACACCCCTGCTGGGTAGGGGGAGACACAGCCCAGGCAGGAAGAGGCTCTGTCAGGGAGCGGGGCCACATGGGGTGGGGGCAGGGCTGGTTAGCCCCAAAGCAGACACCTGGAAGCCGAGGACTCTGCCTGAAGCCCCACCTCCAACTTGTCTACTCCACGTGGGGCCTGGACCTGCAGAACCTGCCGGCTTCCTTGGGGAAGGGGGCCCGGGTGAGAGGAGGCTCAGGATGGACCCTGCATACCCAGGACCCCTCTGCTTGGGGGTGCGAGCCTTGGTTGGCTAAGGTGGCAGCTCGCAGCCTTCAGATCCACAGCCCATGGAGCTGAGATTCTGCCCAAAGCCTCCGGCAGAGCCCCCAGCCCCGCCCACACATGCCTGATCTCAGAAGGGGCTCCCTGGGGGCTGCAAAGACCTTTGGAGCTGGGCTCCTGCACCCAGCAGGGGTCCCCCCCCCCACTTACCCACAGATAAGACCTCCCAGTCCCCTCGCATCAGGGCATGTGGCTGTCTTCGCAGAGTGGCACGGTTCAGTGTTGACGCACGCCCAGCCCGTGACGCAGCACAGCTGAGCTGAGGTCCGGTCCGTGTGGCCGCTTTGCAAGGCACCACCCCCTGCAGAGGGAGATACCAAAGGTTCCAGAGACGAGGGAGAAGCACCCTCCTTCACCACTCAAGCTCCATTCTCTTGAAGAGCTGGGCCCTTCGGGGGCCCTCCAAGCCCCTGTTCACTCCTCCCACGAGGCTTCTCGCCACCTTTGTCTAGTTGCCAGCGTCGTGTGCGTCTTCCCTGTCAGCATCGTTGTCTGTTCTGCCCTTGGCTCACCTTTGTCAAGTGCTGCTGGAGGGCAGGGCACCCGCCTTGTGCACCCGGCACCTGTGATGTGCACACGGCACTGAATGCATAAACATTGGACCCGATTGTCCCCACCTGGGCGCGAGAAGCCAGCCCTATGCTCAGTCCATGTCTCTTGTCCCCACCCAGCACAGCGCCCCCCAGAGGGGAGGGCTGTTGCCTCAGTGTCTCCCGAGGTCTCCAGGAAGGCTGGACGGGCAGGACCCGAAGTCGCTTGTCTGCGTGGACATCACCGCTGTGACAAATGCTCACCTGCTTCTCGTCCTCGGCTGTCCTGGGCGTGGCCACAGCAGCTCAGATCTCTGAGAAGAGCCTGGTCAAGTGAGTGGGGGCCGGACAGACTGTGGTCGCAGTGGACACCCAGACGCCTGTGGCCCGTCAGGGTCAGCCGAGGCTTCAGCTGGGGCTCCAGCTCCAGGAACCCCGGTTCTCCAAGCTCCGGACGAGAGAAAAGGCGTGGTGAGCTCCTCCCGACGACCAACCACTTCATCCGCATTCCTGGAATGGTGCATCTGTCCCTGGAGGCCTTCTCAGGACGTGTCTGAGGAGCAGGGATCTCAGGTGACATCAGGACCATGCAGCCCGACCCCTGACTCCCCCCAGAAGGTGGCATTCCAACGCTAGGACCAACGCCGAGTGTCTATCCCCTAGGGAGAAATGGACCCCACACCTGCCTGGGCGTATCCAGACGGCTTCACCCGGCACCTCTGAGCCCGTCCCAGGCCACGGTCTCAGTAGGACTGAGGAGCCCCGCCCTCCTCAGCAGGATGCCCTTGACCCGGACAGGTTGTCCCTAAAACCTTCCGTATTGATGTGTGTGACCGGCTCTGTCCATGAAGCTCCACCTTGAGCCGGCAGTTTCACCAGCGACGACGCTGGACGAGTGGCTCCAGGCCTCCATCTCAGTGGGGGCTGGGGGCCACAGTCGGAAACAGAAGGCCTGGCCACCCCAGAAGCCAGCCTCAGCCACCCCTGTACATAGAGTCCATAGCAGATAAGAGATGTTCCCTTCAACTGATCGCCCGTAGCTGTCGGTCCTGCTCGCGGCGGGGGCGAGGGGGGCGGGGCCTCTGCCGAGTTCATTGTACATTAGTTGGAAATGTGGTGACGTGCTGTTTGTTTATAGGAAGTGGACTTTTTTATACATATATAAATATATATACACACACACGCTACAACAGGAAAGCCTGCGGTGTGTGTCGTGTTAGTGCCAGGGACCACCTGTAGGGACCTCTCTGCGTATCGTGCGTTTCAGAGTATACATTCCTGGCTCGGCCGGGTCCCTCCGGTCTTGTCGCTTTGTGTCTCCATTCGGCGTGTCGCTTCCTCCTGCCGTGACGAAGAGCCTCGGGGTGAGGCGTGGGAGCACTTGCTCTTCTACACCTGGCGGACCGTGGCTGTGCCTTGGCCAGAGGAACGAGCAAGAGAAGAAGAGGGGCGGGGAGGAGGCGAGAGCGAGCGAGGCCCGAGTGGAGCTCAGGTCGGGCTCCTGACTGTGGCCGCCCCGCCCAAATCCAGGCAGCTGGGGAGACCTGGACTGTGGATCCTGGGGCTCCATGAAACTCCACGGTTGTCACTGGGGCCTCTCAGGTCAATGCTGCCACCAAACCCCCCCAATGTGTCCTTCTGAACTGAGTGCTTTTGGGGGCACGCAGGTCTCGCCTCCCTCCCCTTGCAAAATGGGAAGCAGCGAATGGGGTCCACCAGCCGCCATCTCGAGACGCTTCCAGACCCCCACGTATCTGATGCTTCTTCTGTTGATTCGGACGCAGCCCCGCCCTGCCTGGGGAATGGCCACAGAGTTCTCTCTAGATCATTCCTTCCTTGTAACTACCACGTTGCTGCTTCCGCGTTTTCCAGCCATTTTCCTCCCCACGGAAGCGAGTGTGTGTGCGTGTGAGTGGGGTGCGTGCGTGGGTGCGTGCGTGGGTGTGTGTTTAAATATAATCGCACCATAATTTATTCAGCTATATGGAGTAGTACACTAGGAAGAGAAACTGGTATTTGCTTTAACTACCTGCTGCTTGTACGTGCTTCCTCTGTAACTCAGGCGTAACTGTTACACATTAAAAGAAATTAAAAGCATTTGCAAGTTTCTCTGTGCTCAGTGGATTATCGCTATGTGGCTGCCCCACGCGGGATGGGTGGGGGTGGGGGTTCTGACCTGCTTTGGAAGGTCAGGGGAGGAAGTGGGTTTCTCCTGCACCCTGCTGGCTCCCCCAGTGCCGACCGTGCAATGGTTGTCTATTCGGCGTTCGACCAGAGGATGCTGGGACTGAAGAGTCGTTGGGCAGCTGAGAGCAGCGCAGTGCCAGGGGAGGCGGCCATGCTCCGTTCTCTTTGCCGGGACGTGACTGTCCTGTTGCTAAGCTTGGAACCTGGAAGTGGAGACAGCAGGAAGCTTCCACGTTGTCTTAGAAGCAGAGCCGGATGCAGGGTGGATTCTTGGTGGAGCCAAGGGAGTGAAGGGCAGGGGAGAAGCTCAGCCAGGGGACGACCTCCGCCACTGGCTTCAGCCCGGTGCCACAGAGAGCTCGCAGTGTGGGCTGCGGCACCAGTGTTAGCCCCAGCTGGGGGTGGAGGAGGGGCTGGGCATTTTGTACCGTGACACCATTCAGTCGCTGGCTGCTGGCTGTTCCAGGGTGACAAGCAAGTGACTTAGAAGGCACGCCTGCCCAAGCAGCTGTGTTGCTCTAACAGAGTAGCCGATACTAGGCAATTTATGAGGAACAGTGCTTATTCGCCTCATAGGTCTGATGGCTGGAAAGTTCTAGAATGTGACACCAGCATCTACTGAGGGCCTCTTTGCTGCATCGTCATGGGGCTGAGGACACCCCGAGGGGGCACAGCAAGCGCTGACTCTGCTCTCTTATAAAGCCACTCATGCCATGGCAGGGCCCCACCCTCATGACCTCATCTAATGACCTCCCAGAGGTTCCGTCTCCAAATACCGTTCACATCCTCATCCGGGGGTTCAGTGTGCAGCAATGCACTTCCGGGGTCACCTGCAACCCCGCCCTCCTTGCAGCAGGTGGAGAAGGGCGCTGTCCCGAGCACCGCTGGCGCTGGAGCCGGCGGGAAGGAGGGTTCTGGGGACTCCCACTCCAGCTCTTAGGATTCCACCGGAGTCAGGCCACGCCCACTCATACTCGTGGTCCTGCTGCACTTGAGCCCAGAGGGGCTGGCAGGTGGGAAGCAAGACCCAGTGGACGCCGCTAGGGACTGCCCCCCAGAACACATTCACAGCACTACCCTGAGGGTCAGACGCATGGGGGACAGGAGAAGGGACATGGACACGTTCCTGGGGCTCCCCTCTGCTGTGTCCCTGCGGGACCTGGAGGGGACTGCGGGAGGGGTGACCCCTGAGTCCCGTTAGGAACACGCACCAGCGGATTAGGGAGGAGCTTTTACCCCCTCATCACTGTCACAGCCCGAGATGGGGCTTTAACCCCGATGCCCAGGGAAGGAGGTCAAGGGTCAGAAAGGAAAGGTCAGGTCACCTGCCCAAGCCCCATACCCAGCTGGTGGTGGGGACCAAGCTCTTCCACAAAGGTCACCATGTCACATTTTATTAAATATTTTTTATTTGAGAGGCAGAGTTACAGACAGAGGGAGAGAGAGAGACAGAGGTCTTCCATCTGCTGGCTCACTCTCCAAATGGCCACAAAAGCCTGAGCTGGGCCAATCTGAAGCCAGGAACCGGAGTGTCTTCTGGGTCTCCCATGGGAGTGCAGGAGTCCAAGCTCTTGGGCCGTCTTCTACTGCTTTCCCAGGCCACAGCAGAGAGCTGGATCGGAAGTGGAGCAGCCAGGATGTGAACTGGTGCCCATGTGGGATGCTGGTGCCGCAGACGGAAGTTTATCCTACTACGCCACAGTGCCAGCCCCACCTTTTAATACTGCAGGGGTCTGTGAGGGTGGGTGTCCAGGGTCTCTACCCTACAGAAACCAGGCAGGGCTGCCCTCTGCCAACTGGCTCACGCTCCAGAGTCGGCCCAGGGACAGAGCCCTGCAGGTCACCCTGTCATCCGGTGGTGTCACCAGCCAGCAACCCAGGACATCAGCAGTGCAGTGGCCCCTCAAGAATTCATAGTACATTCACCACCGCCCCCACCGCGCCCAGAAAGACGTTCACCACCACGCCCAGAAAGACGTTCACCACCACGCCCAGAAAGACGGGCACGTGGAGCTGGGAGAGGAAATTCGTGTTTGCAATCCGCTTCTGCACATCCGTTGTCAGTCCTCTCAACAACCCGATGAGGGCGCTGTGCTGGGTTTCCTGACCCTGGAGTGAAGTCGCTGGCCACAGCCCCTCGGCTGGAAGGCACGGGAGTCAAGATTCAAACCCAGACCCAACTGATCCTGAATGCCCTATCGCACAATCACCTGACCACACGGTGGACAGGAGTGTGTGAGCGGGAGGGACAGTGCTGCCTGAACAGAACTGTCCCCATCAGCTCCTGTCACAGGGCTGCTGCCCGAGGAGTCCAGGGCTCAGTGACTCACCGCTGCAGAAGCTAAATCTCACGGTCAGGGTGTGTAGGCCAGCCACGATCAGCTAGCGTGGGCTTGGACGGTGGGGGAGGCAAGTGGCTCTCCAGGGTGGCTCCCAAGATTCCTGCCTCTGGCTACGCACACGCCTTGAGGGTCGGTGGAATCTGTGACTGATGGGCCTCGACATGTGATGGCATCGGAAACGCTGATGGGACAGCCGCTGGTGGGCTTGTGTTAGGCCACGTAAGTCAAGCCTGGAGGGAGAGTTGCCTGCTGGCTTGACAGACAGGCACTGCTACTGGGGCCAGCGTTGAGGCGTAGTGGGTAAAGACGCTGCCTGCAGTGCTGGCATCCCATAGGGGCTGCAGTTCAAGTCCCAGCTTCCAATCCAGCTTCCTGCTAATGCACCTGGGAGAGCAGCTGAAGATGGTCCAAGTCCTTGGGCCCCTGCCATGCACATAGGAGACCCAGATGGAGCTCCTGGCTCCAGGTTTGGGCCCAGCCCCAGCTGTTCTGGACATTTGAGGTGTGAACCAGCAGACGGAAGACCTTTCTTTCTCTTTTTCTTTCTCCCTCTCTGTAACTGCCTTTCAAATGAGAATAAATCTTTTTTTAAAAGACTTATTTATTTTGAAAGGCAGAATTAGAGAAAGGCAGAGAGAGAGAGAGAGAGAGAGAGAGATCTTCCATCAGCTGGTTCACTCCCCAAATGGCAACAATGGCCACAGCTAAGCTGAGCCAGGAGCTTCTTCCAGGTCTCCTACGCGGGTGCAGGGGCCCAAGGACTTGGGCCATCTTCTACTGCTTTCCCAGGCCATGGCAGAGACCTGGAATGGAAGTGGAGCAGCCGGGACTAGAACCGGCGACCATATGGGATGCTGGCACTGCTGGCCGTGGCTTTACCCACTACACCATAGCATCAGCCCCAAGAATAAATCTACTTGTCTAAAGAAACACACTGCTGTGACGTGTGAGGGCCACGTAGTTGGGACGTGGAGGCACCTCCAGGAGCTGAGGGTGTCCCTTGTCCCACAGCCAGCAAGGAGTCACTGCTGCCCAGAGCCTGGGTGAACCTGGAAACAGATTCTCCCCTGTCAGGCTTTCGGATGAGAGCACAGCCCCCGCCCAGCCCTGATTTCCTCCCGGTGAGACCCCGCAGCAACTTGGGAGTGATAAGTGGGCGTGGCCTTCACCCATTAATAGAAAACTAGTTCAAATGGGCAGCTCAGCTCCAGGCCAGAGACTTGGGCAGTTTGTTCTGGGGGCCCATGACGGCAGACCGCCCGAGGTCAAACGTGCTATGGGGTCCCCTCCACAGTCTCCACTTCAAGCTTCTTCTCTTGCAAGCCTCTTGGCCAAGCTCAAAGTCAAGGCACGGGTGGGGGAGGGGGAGAATGCCCCAGCCACATCAGGGTCTGGAAAGGGCGGGGCTGTCTATAGGTGGAGGTGGCTGCCTCCCCGAGACCTCGTCAGGGCCAGGCCTCCCTGCCCACAAGTCTCACCCTTTGGTGAAGCCAGGCTTGAGACAAGCGACAGCTGCCCATGCTGTAAGGATTGGCGCTTCTCTCTGTGCTGGGCACTGGGTTTTCAATGGTTTTTGAAATTTTTGTTTAGTTGAGAGATGGAGAGAGAGAGAACGCCCATCTGTTGCTTCACTGTGCTAATGCCTGCAACAGCCGGGGCTGGGCCCAGCAAAAGCCAGGCGCCAGGAACTCAGTCCAGGTCTCCCGTGTGGGTGGCAGGAACCCAAGCACTTGAGCCCTCGCTGCTGCTTCCCGGGAGGCTGGGGGTCGAACCCGGGTACTCCGATCTGGGACCCGAGCATCTGAGTTGGTGTCTTAGTCGCAGGCTGAATGCCCGCCCCACCACGTGCTTCATGTGTGAGATTTGCCAAAAGTTCTTCTTCCTTTTTAGGGGGGGATTTATTTATTTATTTGAAAGGCAGGGTTACAGAGAGGCAGAGAGAGAAAGAGGTCTTCCAACCACTGGTTCACTCCCCAAACGGCAGTAATGACCGGAGCTGGGTCAATCTGAAACCAAGAGCCAGGAGCTTATTCCAGATTTCCCACGTGGGTGCAGGGGCCCAAGGACTTCGGCCACCTTCTACTGCTTTCCCAGGCCGTAGCAGAGAGCCGGATCAGAAGAGGAGCAGCCGGGACTTGAACCAGCACCCATATGGGATGCCGGCAGTGTAGGTGGTGGCTTTACCCTCTATGCCACAGCACTGACTCTGCCACAAGTTCTGAGAGGAGTGTTGGAGGCAAACCTTCTCTCTGGAAGCTGATTGCCCAGTCCTGGATCATCCTGGATAATCACGCACACGCTGTCTGAACTTCAGTGTCGTCCTCTGTCAATCTGCCATAAAGACAGCACCATCTTCCCAGGTGACTGCGAGGACTACATAAGGCAGAGAAAAAGAAACTGACCTAACTGTCCTTAGACCTGTGTGTCCTAACCTTACTAGACCAGTGGGTGTGCTTGTTGGCATTGCTGGGGAGAACCTGAGCTTCCTAGCAGCCAGGGGGAGAGCGGATGAGTTACGAAGATCTGGTGTTGGTGAGAAGACGCACAGCTGGGTAGGGGAAGGACACTGCACGGCGCTT